TCATTAGCTGAGATGGAAAGATCCACATCATAAATGACGCCAACAGTGCCATTACAACCTGTAGCGACCATTGGCCGAACTTTCACGTTGCCGATTTCTGTTATGTGCCGAAGGCTTTGCAGTGCGCTACGGTGCATAACGTCTACAGCAAGGACATTCTTTCGTGCATTGATCCTCACGTCTTTGATCTCATTCGGCGCGGTTTCCTCGAGAAGCACAGAAAGAACTTGCCTGTTGAGGAGTCGCAAGTTAGATGCAGGGTCTTCGGGCATAAACAGCATGGTGTGCGGCCACCGCTGTGGTGCAGTCTTAACGGTGGAAACACTTGCCGACGATGCCGTTCGCAGCAGTCTTCGTTTTGTAGATCGATTCATGACGACCGTGAAGTCATCATCCGATGACTCAAAGCCATCCGAATACAAATCGGTTGCCTCACTGTCGGTGTCGGTGGACGCGTTGCTACGCTTCCTGGATGACGAAGTCCGGCGCGACGGTTGCACGCCTGGAACATTCTCAGGTGTGTCCTGAAGCGTCACCGCAAAGGAGGGAGCGGCAGCTCCCAGGATTTCGAGGAAAACAAATTGAAAACACTGAGACACGGGCACAAGCGTTCTGTGAGAGAATCACTTCGTCGTCGTCCCTAGGCACCAAGCACTGCGTAGAATGCTTTAGGGCATAATCTGTAGTCGAAATATGCTCTAACGCTACTAACTGTGCCTGACACTTCATCATGTGACAGATATTGCTCAAAAGATTGCAAGTGAATCCTGTATGAAAGACTTCTGGACGTTCTCTGTCATCAAAATATTTTCTAGAAACACAAATCACACCCAGCATTTTATGAAGGCTAGATATTGATCCTAAGATTGTAACTGAACACTGTATGGATGACTTTTCATTATGTGTGTTTTAGAAATATCTTTTATTGCAAAAAAGCACACCTGGCTCCTAGTGATGCAACAGATATTTGTCATAAGATAGGAACCAAGCACTGCGTAGAATGCTTTTGGGCATTGCGTGTAGTCGAAATAAGCTCCTACGCAACTAACTAACCCTGACACTTCACGATGTGAGAAATATTGCTCAAAAGACTGCAATTGAATCTTGTATGGAAGACTTCTGGACGTTGTCTGTAGTCAGAATATTTTCTAGAAACACAAATCGCATACAACACTTAATGAAGTGACAAATATTGGTCATAAGATTGCAACTGAACCCTGCGTGGAAGGCTTTTGAACGTTGTCTGCAGCCAAAATGTTCTCCCATGCAATAAACCACACCTGACACTTCATGATGCAACAGATATCAATCATAAGATTGGAACCGAGCACTGCGTGGAATGCTTTCGAATGGTGTATTTATTTATTTTCAAAAACGGCAGCCCAATGCATGGCTACTGCAGGAGTTATGTATATATATATATATATATATATATATATATATATATATATATATATATATATATATATATATATATATATATATATATATATATATATATATAGAAAACGAAAGCGTTGAAACAGTAGTATCATAATAAATGTGCTAACGTAAACAACTATCACTACCTCCTAGGAGGAGCCCAGTAAAAAATACGAGAGAATCAAAACAAGTGCAATAAAAAGTCAGACACACTGGTATAAGACACACTGGAACCGAGCCAAGTATATCATTCCAGTCTTTGATAACTTTTCAACGTGTTAGAGAGCCCTACAAATGGCTTCTAAGCTGGGTTGTGATTGCAAATCAGTGCTGTGTTGAAGGCTTCTGCACTTTGCTGGTATGTAAATATCCTTTAACATCTACAACATGCATCTGACACTTCTTGATGAGACAGATATCAGTTTTGAGGTTGCAACCAAGCGCTGCTTAGAAGGCTTTCACATGTCACCAATAGTCAAAATACCCTATAATGCAATAAAGCGTACCCAAAATTTTTGATGTGACAGATAGCGGTCTTAGGATTGCACCAGAGCATCGTAAAGAAGTTTTGGGAAGTTTTCTAACACAGCTAAACTTAATATCTTGATATTTTGATTATGCTTAAGGGCATGCATATATAGTCCAAGTTAATGCGTATACTAAAAAAAACTGAGCAGAAATGAAGCAGTCCCTGAAAAAACATTTAAAGATTCAATGTTGGAAACCATCTAATTATATATCCAGCTCATCACAGTCTGGAGGAACCGATAAATACATGCGCAGTTCTTAACGGTCTCATAAGTCACATGAGTCATTTTTTCCATTTATTCTAAACAAAATGTAGTACAGTACTAGTGCACCTTCATTCATTCTGTGCATACATGTGGTGACCTTCTCTTCTTACTCTGGTGTCATCGTACAGCTGATTTATAATCAGGTGCTTCTCGCTTACAAGGTTTTCAGTCATCTGTCCAGCTGTAAACAAAACGCGTACTATAGTATAGTGAACTGTAAAATGATGGAGAAGCGCCATTGTATGCCTATATTTATGAATATCGAAATGAATTAGAAATTGAGAATGTGTGTGTCAAAATGCTTCCAAACAATGTATGTGAGTGTGTCAGAGAAGCACAACAAGCGAGAAGTGAAATAGCTGGCAATACCAGCAGCACTGAATATACAACTTTTTTTTAGATCACCACAGCAATGCACGTTCGAGTTTCTATCTTGTAGATGAATGGAAATGAGACCGCTTACAGCTGAATGTGTCAGCGTTGTTGGTAACCGACACGAAGTCACATCACACTGCTACCAACTAGCGCACGCTTTTTATTAGCTGGGCAACACACGAAAACTATTTGCACCGAAGCCAACAAATGTTTCAGCGTCGTACGATCCGCGAACACACTTATATAAGTACGTACGTTTTCACATCACCGAAATGTGCTGACTAGTACAAGGATCGCTTTCAGCAACGATGAACACCCATGTTGTAAGCAAACACAGTGCAGATGAAACCTCCGCATGCACTAGGCAATGTTTTGGGCATCGTATATAGTGTTTATGTTGCAACGGAAACTACTGTCGATTTTTTCAGCCGATGTTCTTCGCATGAGCTGGTTCATAACTCGATGGTAGGGGTCTACGCTGGATGCAGATGACACCGCTCTGAATTGCCTCCGCGGTAGACGAGGGCTCACGCTCAGATCTTCCGATCTCCGAAGCCTGTTTACACTCGTTTTTAGCACAGAAATTCACAGATCAAAGCACAGGAACACCGACATGCTCCAGTAGTCTGTACGTTGTTTTAGCTCGACCAACGATCGCGCTCAGGACCAGCGCAAGACCAGCCGGCCGAAATTCGCTTGATTTTTCAGCGTCGCTCGAACTCAGCACGAAACCGCATCACGCTGGTAGCACTCGCAGTCCGTTCGTCGTGTCGTTGTCGGTCTAGATTCAGGAAGGTTTGGAATAATTTCCGTGCTTACTTCCAGCCCTCGGCCGTGCCTTCGAAGCGGCGGCCATCAGGCTCAGCATTCGGAGGCATCGTGGCCTGGGGTTGGTTGGCGCTGCTGTACGCGTGGTGTCGTGGAGTAAGCGTGGCAAAAATATCAAGCCCGGCTTGATCCCTCCCGCCTCCTTGTTTATGCTTATCCGACGCCGACAGGCACATTTGACGCTTTTGACGCGTAGGCGCGAGCACACACGTGCACGTGGTTGGCACTTAAGCTGAACCGATGTGAGGAGTCGCAGCAGTGCGCCGGCTCTCGGAAGAGGTCCATTGCAGCGTCGGCTGCCAGTGCCGTGAGGCGATCAAGGGGCCGTCAAAATGACGTTTATAATTGCTGCTGCCCCCGTGGGGGTCGGCTTCTTTTTTGTGAGTTAGCAGGAACTCAAAACGCTTGGCCGTCTCTGGCGCTGCAGAACTACACGGGGTACCCTGCTGGCGTCGTACTGTCTGCGTTCACGGCTAATCCGGTCGGGCAAGCTTCGACCGAGTGTAACTAAAGCAATGCTGTCTGCCAGCGGCTATATGCCTCCCCAAGCTTACAACACAAAGCAAATAAAAGCAAACTAAAATTGCCGCGCAACCAATTCTTACCGCAGTCCTACAGTCTTCATAAGCACCTGCCCTATCTAAGCAGAAGTTACAAAAAACTGATGTTTTGGTCGTACAGGTCACTATCAGTCCCTATAAGAAACAAATATGAAGCATTGTTTTCTAGACTGACCAACAATGCTAAAAATTTTACTCGTCTGCTGCACGTTTGGCTGTGTTATTCAACGATAGTCAACTAATTTCGAAAGTCGTTTTCGTAGAAAACAGAAAAATTATTAGCCATGCTATACTTTCTAACCTGTACCATACTATTTATCGCACTGCATGTTTCCTTAATCTCTTCAGTCCATGAAGCTTTCATATGACTTTAGCAGCCTCACGTCAATTAGGACTCGGCTAGAGTGCAGCAAATTTCTTGTAAAGTGCCACAAGAAAGTAGCGCTTCCTATTAACTCGCTGCATGAGCTAGTGCGTTCGGCTCTAATAAAACCAGGAAAAGTGCTTCGATAAGTATGTTTATTGCACATATTTTTGCTATCTTTATAGTGCTGAGAGAACACCCAGTAGTAGAATAAGCAGTGTACTCTCAGTACAATTCATTGTGAAGAAAAGCGGAACCAATGCTCAATGCAAGCGCTCCGCGACCTGCCCTCTATTTGCTGATAGCAAGGCAGCTAGCATGGTTGGTAGCACGGAAACTTCTTAGAGGTTGCTAGCGTGATTGTTGTCATACTTGTTATCCAAGGCCTGGCTCTCTGTAAGTCTTGAAGGAGGAGAAGGAATGAAGGAGTAAAGATAGGGAAGTTAGCCAGCCTTACATCCCTTACAGCAACATTTCGCAAGCCTAATGTGCAGTGCGACATCATTATATCTCAACCTGGCCACGGAATATAGCAAAGGATGGTAAGTGAGGCATTCAGGGGCGCAATGTATGTAGCCGCTCAGTGTGCACGCAACAAGATTGTTGTCTCAAAAATGGTTGCCGTAGAGCGAACTGATTCTGTGGCGTCGTGCGCAGAGCATCCCAGACGCGTTCTGGTGGGCCGTGGTGACCATGACCACGGTCGGCTACGGCGACATGCGCCCCGTGGGCGTCTGGGGCAAGATCGTGGGCTCGCTGTGCGCCATCGCCGGTGTGCTAACCATCGCGCTGCCCGTGCCGGTGATCGTGTCCAACTTCAACTACTTCTACCACCGGGAGACCGACCAGGAGGAGATGCAGTCGCAGAGCTTCAATCACGTCACCAGCTGCCCCTACCTGCCCGGCACCGTGGTCGCGGCCAAGCTGAAAGGGGACACCGACTCACCGGACGATTCAGATGTCCTCGAGCTGGACGACGCCACTTCGCTAGCACTGTTCTCCTCGCCTGCCCCGAACACTCAGCAGGCAAACAGCACCAACAATCCCGCGGCCTCGCTCGAGACGGACGTCTGACAGCAGCAGAAGAAAGCCCCAGGTGCATCCTATCCACGGCACTCGCCGTTTAAGTGAGTCACTGCAGGCTGCGGCCATCTTTGCTAGTTGTTTTGTCATTGCGCAAAAACCTATATATTTGCTTGTAAGATTAGCATAATCCAATCATTATTATCATTATCCCACCATCATCTTATCATCCCATTTCTTGTCACTCAACACGGACACCTAATCGCCACCGTTATCAGGCGCCCTCTTTGCCAAGCTAGATACTAAGCTGCGGAGTGCCAAGTCGGGTTCACTGCTTGAATTTCATTTTGTAGTGATCGTAACAGTTTTAAAACAAAAACATAAGGAAAGGCAGCATATACACATACTCGTAACTACTCTTTTATGTAGTGAAAGATGAGACATTTAGTATAGAATGACGATACAAATAAAACAAGAACTCATCAGCCTACGATGGTGACATGTATGCTTCAATCGTAATCCTGCGTGTATATATTGCGCCTACGCTAGTGATGCTGACTGTAAGTTGCAGTCAGGTGAGCGACGAACGCTTATCGGTGGAAAACACGGATATAGCATGAGGGCAGGATCCAAACAGCGGAGCGTTCTTGGTGCAATGCCACGATCGAATGAAGAAGCTCTGTGATTTTTCACCTGAGCGCCTTGCGAAGGTTTCTGCGAGGATTTTTTTTCAACAAGTGGAAATTTTAACTAACGCCAGGAAGTGCAGCGCTCAAAGAAGACGAAATGATACCGATGGTGTCCGCAACAATGATTCAAATGATGCTGAAGTATCCTGGCCTCATGTACAAGGAACGCTCTCGGAAGGCACTTCTTATAGAAGTGACGCCCATTCCGCATTGTCGCCGTTCGTACATGTGATAGGGAGGTTTGGAATAGCAAACCGCAAGCCCTTGCGGTGCGGTCACTGCTACTGCGCATGCGTCGTAAGGCGAGCCACCGTTTGCGCTTGCGGCCCGCCCCCAGAAATTCTGAAGTAGCCTGGGGCGATCACGGCCCACGAGGCCTGTAAAGTGCTGTGTGTAGCTTCCGTGCATTTGGGTTGGCGGTCGGGGCGAAAGTCCCTACACTTTTCCCTAGGGGTAGCACACGCTTCTAAACTCACATGGCGCCTGATATGCGCGCAACGCCCGCAGCGCCTGCAAACAGTTATTCTAAAACTTCTTAATAACGGACGCAGGCTCTGCGGACGTTGCTTTAGTTTAGAATAGGGTTTGCTCTCCCTAGAGAAAAGGGTAGGGATTTTCACCCCCACCACAAACCCTCATGCACGGAAGCTACACACAGCTTTTTGTGGGCCTCGCGGGCCGCGATTGCCACACGTTATTTCAGAATTCCTGTGGGCGGGCCACAAGCGCAAACCGCGGCTCGCGTTACGACGCATGAACAGTGGCAGTGACAGCACCTCAAGGGCTCGCGGTAAGCTGTTCTAAAACTCCCTATTCCAATCCTCCCTAATGTCTCGTACTCGTCGTTACCGGTGTCCGTCCGGCCCCTTGGAACAGCGGCAGCTACGGCGTCTCCCGCTCACGCCGAAGGATGAATTATCTTTGTAAGCACACGGCTGGGCTAGAAGAGGAGCGGCTCGCGCGCGCTCTGCGCGCGTGCAGTCGCTTCTCTAGCCCGGCCGTGGTAAGCGCTAAAGCGCGGATGACGTCTTCACGACGCGCAAAGCGCGAGAATACTAATATGTGTGAAACTGGGCAGCATAATATTGCGTCGCACTGCGTTTTCCTGTGAAAACAAAAGAGAAAAATCACAGCATATCTACGCACTCAATGATGATGACTGGAGCGAAGCGTCCGTCAGGCCGTCCACCCGTGCGTCTGTCCATGCGTGCGTCCATCAATCTGTGCGTTCGCCTGCTTCTGTGTCTGTCCATCCATGCGGCCGTTCGTACATCTAGTGAACGCTCCAAGTACCGCCATCTCGCATCTTTTTATCACATAGACCATATCACTGTTTACAAACACAGGAGGTGGACGCCTTCCGCTCCTACGTGCTGACGTAGCCTAGCAGCATTCGCGAGGAACAGAAGCCTCAACGAGTAGCCAGCTCAAATTGAAGAGTTTCCTTCTTGTGTCTGGTCAAATATTTCAAACTCACTTTGTTGTTCGCTAGACACATCACTATAGTAGTCCTTAAGTTTGAGTGCCTCCCTTTTACCTAAAAGCGGGAAAAAGAGCCTTTCCTTACTCTAGCGCAACTTAAAACACAAGATTTCTGTTTCGGTGTAAGAGAACAATAAATAAAAAGACCGGAAGTTTCTTGGGTAGCAACATGTGCTGCTATTACTATGTTGAAACCAATCGAAAAGGCGAATATATTCTTTATCAACAACTACCGCCATCCAGTGGGCATTCCAAAGCTAAACGAGAGGTAGCTACCAGCTACTACTACTACTACTACTACTACTACTACTACTACTACTACTACTACTACTACTACTACTACTTCTACTACTACTACTAAACACATAGCAGACGCACGACCCCCGGCATAAGAAGCTTCGACCCTGAAATGAAAGCACCCCCTAGCGTAAGTATAACATTTTCTTTTGCTTATTCATCATAAAACTACACGGAAGCCATTTGTTTTGTGACATCTGCATTAGTTCATTCAGCAACAACTATCACCTAGCCGTGAATCCTAAAACGAGGTGGCTACGTACTACGCACATTGGGGACGACCGACCCACGCATTAGAGAGGCCCTGCGAAACTTTTTGTACAACCTTATTCAGCCCCGGAGCGCGTGCACCGATGATTACCAAGATGAACGCAACAAGAATTATACAAATGAGTGCATGGAAAGGGAAGCCTAAAAAAAGTGCCGCCATATCCACGAAGTGAATGATCATAAGTGGGCGAAGCTCCAGAGGTAAACCTGGTAAACCATGAATCCTCCGTACATTTTGCCAACTCGATTTTATTACAACGCTCCCCCTAGCGTGCGTCACCACACTAAATCGAACGATTGCCTTCTACTTATGACATGCGCCATATCTGACATATATGTTATAAATTTCTATTTTATAACATCTTGCATCGTTCATCATTAACTACAAGTACCATCGTCTAGTTTATTATATCTTGCGTATTTGCATAATCAGTAAAGTAACCGTATATGCTACCTTTAGGTAGCAGAGTTGCGTCAAGGTACGCCATCTTGGGTTCAAATGTCTTGCGGAAAAGCCACTCACCACACACGTAGGAGCAGCGCTCGCACTTATAGCGTTGCTTTATTTATTTCTTGCTTTAATTTCTTTCTATATTTTATTAGGGTACGAGACAAACTCAGTTGCTCTGGAAGCCTTGATTTTATGTTAGGTTTTGGTAAGTAATAATGAGAAACCTTCTTCCGCACATTGAACCAGTGGTACATATGTATACTTATTGTGGGCAACGCACTAGCTTCGGCTTCTTTTGCACTGTTTTTCCCATTTACGTACAATAAATTACGCTTCACTCATGATCGCTATTGAGCCAGGCATAGAATATTTTCATCGCGTTGGGCTCATTCGTGAACTGTGTGAGTTAACCAGCTAAAGCTTTTTTAGTCTTCAACTGAATCAAGCTGGATAGTGATCGAGAGTGGCCGTGCAACGCCCTCGTTAAGCTCGCATCTCGTTTTACGATCCTACTACAATTGCGGCTTCACGAGAATTGATGTGAGTCGTCGTTCAACAACCCAGTCGTGTCTAACATTACTTTCGCTTTAGGTTTCAAAGCTGTATTGAATTAACGCACTAACCGCAACACCTTGCCAATTGAAATAGTTCTAGTTCAAATTATTCCTTTATTTTTAGCGTTTTAATTGCCATACTATATAATTTGGACGTATGCAGCTGACACACGGTGCCAAACTCTGCATTTATAGCGTATTCACTACTGCATCTGTGGTTAATACAAATACAGCAAGTTTCGCAGTGCCGTACATGGACAGATTAAAACAAAAGCCAGGCACACGAACGTCAGAAGGCAGAAGGAAAGCGGCCCTTGCCCCCCTCAAGCCACAACAGCACTTGCCCTCACCCAAGCTAGACCAGTGTGCTCGCTCTCCCTAAGCACCAATGCAATAGTGGTTTCCACCCCAAAGAGAAAATCCTGCCGACGACAATGGCCAAGCGTTTCTTCCTTCCGACTGAACACTAATCTTTCTATAGCAACACCCGCTGCTGCCGCGTCCTAATTGCATGGACTCTACGTAGTAAGATTCAACACAGAATGCATTCGCTGCCGCATTCATCGTGGCCAACAGGCAGCATGGCCACATTACCAAAGAAGCGCGGCGAGAATGACAACAGCCGTTGCCAGCCCCACTTGATCTGCCCGGAATTTGCGCAGCGTTGGCTTCTCCGAAGTCCAAATGAACCACTTATGACCACTTGATGGCGCTCGGTGAATAAGGACGAATAGAAGTTCTGTTCGGACTGGCACGGTGCATGGACGTGTATTTTGAGCGCTTCCGATCGACTGCGCAGATAAGTAGTATGGCATGTTTTGAGCTTACGTTTATAATTAATAAGGCAGCAGTTAAAACCTTTGTAGCACTTATTATATTTTACGGCTTTTTCAGGGTTAGTCACCAGGTATTTACTAAATTGTGCGTGTGTGAGTGTTTGTTTTTTTGTGCTTTTTGCGACCCCGTAGGTAAGGCGCACGTACATTGAACAGGCAAATTTTTGTAGTAGAGCTGAGACTTTCTCTTTTTCATAGGGCAGGGATTGTGTGGTGTAATTATCAAGTTGAACAAGTCATAAGGATAATTGGTGTCAGAAGTACATGGTAAAATAGCAGTAAAGCGTTCAGGATGCGGGTGGGGTTTGAAAATGGACCCAAGAGTAGAAGCGAATAGAGAGGAGGCTGACGCAAAGTGTAGGCAATGTGAGGTCGAGAAAAAATGGAGAAAAAAAAGGTTGCCGATAGTGAACTGCTGATGAGAATCACCGAGCTGGAACCTGCGTTCGTGACAGAGCAAGAAAAAACTAGGGCCAATGGAAGAAAGGCTGAATTCCGCCGAGGAAGCACTAGCCAAGGTGAACA